AAAAACACACCAACACGCCACCACACCAACACACAAAAAAAAAAAAAAAAAAAAAAAAAAAAAAAAAAAAAAAAACCTTAGGGAACCTCTAATGATAAAGGAAAATTTAACTCCTTAAATCAGAAGTGTCATGACTAGTGCCTGATCCCCTGCTCTCATAGAAGGAGAGGTAACTGTCCACCACTCCTAATTGCTGGTCATAAAGATTCCCCAGCCCAGGGGATAACTGACAGACCCTGTGACCCTGTAACCCTACAAGCCCATGCCCTGTCTTATCTCAGTGAAATGTATCTCCCTTAAAATGTATAGTTACTAACTCTGTACTTTGTATGACCTTAAGTAACCATGGAAACTCTGTAAGTTGTGGCCTTCAACTGAAGGACCCTGGCCTAAGATGTTTTCTTTCAGATACATAAGAATCTGAACTTATGACCTTAACAGGAAAGAGCCTTTATGGTTGAGGAATTCCACCCTAACAAATGGTTCCCAGAGGTAGAGATGTAACTGCCCTGAACGTCCCATGAACCCGGAGATCGGAGATCCCAGTAGGCCACCTGGAACGAGTCAATCAGAACTGTTACCCTCGCTCACCTCAGACCCCATCTGTTTGCAGTTTTTGCCTTTAAGAAGCCCCTAGTCCCAAGCTAGGGGTCCAGCTCCTCTGCTCCTGTGTGAGTAACAAGTTGGGTCCCTGCAATGGTTACTGAATAAAGCCTTTTGCGGTTTCCATCAAGTCCTCACCTCCTCCTGGTGACTGGGGTCGCCGCCGGCGGGGGGGGGGCGCATCTTTCAGAGGCAGGCGGATCTCTGTGAGTTCAAAATCAGCCTGGTCTATAAGAACTAGTTCCAGGATAGGCTCCAAAGCCACAGACAGGTCCCTGTCATGGTTGGATGAACAATAAACCTTGCTTTTGCAGTTCAATGTGTCTGTCTCCCTGGTGGTCTTTGGGGATCTTCTTGACTTGGGCAAACTTCCAAAGGAACCACAGTTGCTGTGAGTTCATGAGGGCAATGGCCCTGTTGCTTCTAGAAGGCCCTTCTTTTTTTTTAAGGTATTTTTTTATTTATTATGTATACACAATAAATGTTCTGCCTGCATGTATGCCTGCAGGCCGGAAGAGGGCACCAGATCTCATAACGGATGGTTGTGAGCCACCATGTGGTTGCTGGGAATTGAACTCAGGACCTCTGGAAGAACAGCCAGTGCTCCTAACCTCTGATCCATCTCTCTAGTCCCTAAAAGGCCCTTCTTACTCAAAACTCGACACCAAACCCTGGCTCTTACAATCTTTCTGCCCCCTGCTCTGTGATGTTCCCTGAGCTATGTTAAGAGGCAGTTGATAAGAAGGACCTGTTTTGGGCTGAGTGACTCCACCAATGACTCAGGGCTGAGAGCTGAGAAATTCGCTAATCTATGGATTTAAAGATATGTATTCAGAAGGCAGGTTGATAGTATGTTCATAGATTACCTGGAGCATACTACTACTATTACTTAAGGCTTGATATGTATCCCTGGCTGGCCTTGAACTGTATAGCCAGGCATGGATAACCTTGAACTTCTGATCCTCCTACTTCTACTTCTACTTCTACGTCCTCAACGTTGAGATGCCAGGCATGGGCTACCACGCCCCATTTATGTGGATTAGACTCATGGTTTCATGTACTTTACCTGAACTACAGCCCCACCCCCTACAGCTACTTCCTAGATCCTTAGCTTCTAATCAGGAAACATTGCTTCCTTCCTCATGACTTGGCCATTTGTTTCTGTCAAATTGTCTTTGCATAATTTTGTCCTCCATTTAATTCACATGAGCTTTTATTTTATTTTTTGAGACTACTGTGTAGTTGTTCCAGTTGGCCCGAAACTCTAATTGGCCTGAAATGTGTCAATCAGGCAGGCCTTTGATGGGTGATGTCCTTCTGTAGACTGTAAATACATGTTTCTCTTATTGGTTGATGAATAAAGCTGTTTCAGCCAATGGACAGGCAGAATTTAACCAGGAGGGAAATCCAAATAGGGATAGAGAAAGGTAGTAGGCAAGGTTAGAGAGACACCATGTAGCTAGTGAGGAAGAAAGAGGCCCAGGCATCACCAGTAAGCCAAGATTAATAGAAATGGGTTAATAATTAAGAGAGAGCTAGCCAATGATATGGCCTGAGCCATAGGCCAAAAAGCCTGTGTGTGTTTATTTGGGACTAAATGGCTTTGGGACCAGGTGGGACAGAAACTTCCAACTACAGGCCTCCAACTCAGACATCCACCAGTCTCTGTCTCCCAGAGTTCTGGGGTTAAAGACACTCGCCATCACATTCATTGAGTATCAGCTTGGTTTTTTTAATTAATTTATCTTTATTTTATGTGCATTGGTGTTTGGTCTGCATATATCTATTGGAGGGTGTCAGATCTTGGAGTTACAGATAGATATGAGTAGCCATGTGGTTGCTGGGAATTGAACTCAGGACCTCTGGAAGAGCAGCCAGTGCTCTTAACCTCTGAGTCATCTCTCCAGCCCTTGTTTGTTTGTTTAAGATTTTCATGTAGTGTTTGTGGCAAATATTTGCCCCAAGTGATCTTTGTGTACTTTGGATAGTCTGAGTACTTACCAAGATAACCTTGAACTTGAATGGTTTTACCACAGCATACCTAGTAGATTGCAGGTGTGTCCCACTGTGCCTAAATCAGAGATTTCCCCCTCCCCTAGTTTCATTAAAACATATGGTTTTCTGTACCTTTGCATTTCCTTCCTTCCTCCCTTCTTCCCTTCCTTCCTTTCTTTCTTTTTTTTTTCTTTTAGTTTTTTTTAGAGACAGGGTTTCCCTGTTGCTTTGGAGGCTGTCCTGGAACTAGCTCTTGTAGACCAGGCTGGTCTCGAACTCACAGAGATCCACCTGCCTCTGCCTCCCGAGTGCTGGGATTAAAGGCGTGCACCACCAATGTCCCGGCTCCTGTCTTCTTTTCCTCATCCCCAGTCCTCACTCTCAGGAACCTGTCACTCAAGAAGGGCCTGCTGGTTCAGGTCGGGGGCATGTACAACCACACAGTTT